TTTCGACACTTGTTCCCTGCTCCATGCCAGAGCAGGAACTGAATTTTGGATGGCTCCGTCATGGGGAGAGGAGGGAGGAGAAGGGAGCAGGGGAAAGGGCGAGGGGAGCACGTGGAGAAGGCAGGAGAGGAGCCCTCGGTGGCAGCCAGCACCAGCTGGGGCGAAGCCAGCATGGTCAGGCGTGAGGAGCACTTCATCCTCAGCATGGCCATTCATTTCCTCACTGTTTTTTAAAAAATATGTGTATTTATAGGACCGTTCAGGGTCGGGAAGCTCTTTGAAGCAGTGTCTGGCTGTCGGTGGCCGACCCCGAAGAAGGCAGGAGTAACTCGGAGTGCTGCTTGCAATCCTCCTGGTTGGATGCCATCAGGGCTGCTCTCACCCGACCCTACACTGCTGTCACGTTGATGTAGCTCCAGCGATGGCTCTTACAGACCTTGGCTCACCTCCCAGAGCAATTTAGGGGGGCTTTCTCTTCCTGCCTTGACGTTCTTCTTTAATGGCCATCAGCTTGTGGAAGTGCGAAACCTCCCAGCTTCGTGATAGGAAATCCTTCAAATGAAGGTGCCTTCTCTGTCCTCCACGCCATCCTTGGAGCTACGCTTCTACCCTAAGGTGCCCTTGATGGTGTTTGCTGCTTGCACAGCACTCCAAAAAGCGTACTGCCCTGTTTCCAAAACCCATGAGGATCGCCATGAGGCAGTGGGGGAGGACTGAGAACAGCAGCGTGCTGCTTCACCTGATCTGGTGGCAGGGCTGCTAAGTGCCCTGAAAGCTGATTTACCGTCTCGTTGAACCAGGGCCTGCGCTGCCTGGGAAATTTGGAGTAACGTTTCCAGAAATACCTAAGGGCTCATGATGATTTTTGCTGCCAAAAAAAATTAATTTCCTTCATTTCCTCTTTTTCCTCCCACTTTCTCCCCTTATTCCCATTACTGTTTCAGGAGCAAAGAATTGATGTCATTGCCACGAATAGCTCTGAATTCACTTGCTTACAGTTTTGGGTAGGGAGATTTTTTTTATTTTTTTATTTTTTTTTTCCACCAGAAGGTCTTATTGCATTCATTCTCTCCTCCTTCCTTCTTGCACCTATGCCCGGCCTCTTCCTCCCTGCACTAGCATCTCGAGACTCCCCCTCGCCACTCTCCACAGTGGAGGCATCATGACTGAGTCATCCCTCTGCATCCAGCCCATTGCTAATCCACCTCGTGCCGTTCCCTTCACAAGGGTTGCTCACTCTTCCTCCCCACATCCACCCCAGCAGTCCGTGCCTTCAGCATCTTCACCCTCAGTCGCCCCTGTTGCCCCCTCTCCGAATTTTCGCTCTCCTTCCTCTGGAGTCTGCATTTTTTAAGGTGCTGCCTGCCCCTTTCCCCTACCTGCTGTTTATCTGAGGGCATCCCTCAGATGTCCTCCCAAGCTTCTGGCCTTTATTTTCCCTCACACGAAAGTCACTGCCTTATCCTCATCCTTACAGTCACTGAGGGACAGTAGGGATGGGCCTGGCAACCTTCTCCTTCACAGGAAATATATTTCCCTCTGTGGTTTCTGCTTTTGTTTCCCTGCTCTGCTCTGGGAGCCAAAGTCCCGAGACGTCCTCCCGATGAGGAGGCAGCCCCAAAGGGGCTGATAGTTACGAAGCAGGAGGCTGCGTGAGTTTTTGCATCAGGGTCAGGAGCTCCTCCACGGGTCCATACCAGCCTCTTCGTGGTTCTTGTCGGAGCACAGAGCAGAGGTAAAAGACGGGTGGGGAGCAGGGTACGGCTCATCCAAAGACCCTTCTTTCAGAGGTGTGTCAGCACAGCCTGTGTTGCCACGATGTCAGATGGCACCCAAGTAAAAGGGAGAGTTATAGAAAAAAAAATTAAAAAAAAAAAAAAAGAAAAATGTGTTGAAGTGGCAACAAACGATTCAGCCAGCAACAACCTTTTAGCAACTATCCCGGCACCGGCCATTCAGCCGGTCGCTTTTGCTGCCATTTTTATTAGCCACATAGGATGGAGGTTATACGACCCTATCCGGGTTACATTGTTAAACCAGGAAAAGATACGACAGCAAAACAGTTTTTCTGTGGCTTAATTAAATGGCCTTGATCCAAACCCCACTGAAGTCAATAAGGAGCCTTGCCGCTGCCCTTAACGACTTTGCATGACTGAATACTCCCAGCAGGGCTTTAATAGGGAAAAAAAGAGTGAGGTTCAAGCTGCAAAATACAAGATAGGCTCTGTACAGCAGGAAAGCTGCTGACGTGCTTCCATGGCATAGGTAGCTCACTGGTGGGAGAAAGGAGGCTCTGACCTGATGGGAGAGCCGCGGGGATCCGCATCTTTGTTTTCTCTCTGTGGACTCCAGGAGCCATTTGTGATTTCCATGAATAAAACATCTATTTTTTAATTATAAAATTAAATGCTGAAGCAAGTAGAAACACTTCCCCAGACTTCAGCAGGACGGCGATCTCCCCAGGAAGGGCTGGCACTGTGCAGGGCACACTGTTGCACACTCTGGCCTTGCCGTTGCTTCGCAGACTCCTTTCTGTAGATGCTTCTTGTTTATAAGTAAAAGTACTTAGATTAACGGCGCAAAAACAAACAGTCTAATGTTGTTACATTTTAAGGGCACATTAGCTTGAAAGAGCAGCCAAGTTTGTTGACTAAAACGATTTACACAACTCTAAGGCCACTAAACAACTATTTCTCAATGTCTCATCAGCTGCGCAGGGGAGCAGGAGCTAAAAATGCCACGGCTCAACAAACAGTTCTGTGTTCCCGCTGTTGATAAGCACATGATGTTTCTTTGTAAATACAAGGCTGTCAGGGGTTGCTTTAATTAAAAAAAAAAAAAAAAAAAGGCAACACCACAAACAAATAAATAACATGAATAATTTCTAGGCATGTACTGTCCTCTTTCCCTCCTTTCATTTCCCTCATATGACTCCATTAAAATATCCCCAACAAATCCTCTGCACTATGCCCAGGATTCCCAAATTACCTCCAAACAGGCTTCTGCCTGGCCAAGAGGCAATCCCTAGTGTGGCTGATATAATGCTACAGCCCTTCGGTTGGCCGGGACAGGAATGCCCACGTGTCACCACTTACATGAAGGGATCGTCTAAAGTGCCCAGGTTGACTGAGAGATGCTGAACATCCTCCACCACCAAGGATTTGGAAGAAATTAAAGTTTTTTTTAGAAGTCCCCATCTAATGCCCATTGAAGGTGGACATTGATTAAGAGCTCGGTCAGGATTTCTACTCTGCCCATCAAAGGCCAGTGCCCAGGTGCCTCACCAAGGAAGCCGGATAAAGAGGAGATGTTTTTTAACAAAGCAGGCGAGGGAGGTGTAAGACAAGCAGATGGAAACTGAATTCAGAAAAAACATTGTGCTAGCAGGCATCTAATAGCGAGAGCAATCAATCAAGGAGCTCATTACCAAGGGACACTGTGCAATCCCCATTTCTTGATGTCTTTACGTTGATAGACTGGCAAAACTGTCCTAACGGGACACTATTCAACCAAAAGGTGTTGTGCTTGAGTTTAGGACCTGGAGGATAAAATTAAAAGCCTTCCACTCTACAAAGGTCAAGCAAGGTGAGCACAAAGGATTTTAAAACATTGAAGACTATGAATGGAGTCATTGAAATGCCTCAAAAACTTTTCATCTCTGTCAAAAATGTAGGAGAAGCGGGATAGGAGAGCATGTTTTGCAGCAGGCAGGGAAAATACCAAGAGGTATTATACCAAGAGGCACAGCTCCATCTGGTTTGGTAATTTCTTTGGCCATGGCTGCCAAACAACAAAGACATCCTCACTGGTGTGTTGACTCCAGCAGGTCTAGTGAGGCACGAGCCCTGCCAGCTTTCACAGCTACAGAAGGAGATGAGAACCACTGTTTAATGTCATCCAGTCACATAAAACATAAATATGTCCTGGCGGAGGTATGCAAAGTACTCGCCTTACTTCCTCTGCTACGCCAGCTCAGAATGTGTTGTGCTGCTGCAGTAAAAATGGTCAAACTACTGACTGTCAGATCTGGGGCGTACCTCTCCTATCTTACACTGTCTGTCTTTTCCCTTGGATTTCCATCTGTTCTCTGCAGGGAGCAAGAAAGCCTCACTGTAAGTAGACAGACGTCTCGCAAACTCGGTTCTCACTCAGGGTCCTACATCCTTACTGCGCGTATTCGTTAACACAGCTCTGTTCTGCCACACAAAGACGTCTGGTCTTCTGCCTGTGATACGGTTATTTGCCAGAAATGATTTCAAATAGAGCAGGCAGCGAGCCTGTCACTTCGTTTTCTGATAATTTTGTTCTGTCACCCTGAGCCAAAATGATAACATCGGTGCTCAAACAGCTCCTACACAGATGCTGTCTGAGACCCCTTCTCCTCCCGGAGGCTTGCTGACCAGCACAAGACGGAGCAGGAAAACACCGCTTTGAGAGACATTTGGCAGTGTCTCCGGGATGCAGGGATAAGGCCATGCGCTGAGCTCTTTTTACATAAACACCAATAGGGGATAAGTCAGAACTCTTGAAATCGGTATGTCACCTTATTTCAACATCCAGCTAAAGTTTGATGTGAAAGTTCAGTCAGAGCTGTATCTGGCCCCGTGATTTATAGTGTTTACTGAACTGGGGAGCCAGCATGATAGTAAAATATCCCAGATATCTCTTTAATCTGCATAGTTTATATCCAAAATCATATTTAACTGCTGAAGGATGGGGAGGAGGGAGAGTCACGTTTTGGACTGTGTTTTATGCTGTGCTAGAGGAGAGGAGAGGAGAGGAGAGGAGAGGAGAGGAGAGGAGAGGAGAGGAGAGGAGAGGAGAGGAGAGGAGAGGAGAGGAGAGGAGAGGAGAGGAGAGGAGAGGAGAGGAGAGGAGAGGAGAGGAGAGGAGAGGAGAGGAGAGGAGAGGAGAGGAGAGGAGAGGAGAGGAGAGGAGAGGAGAGGAGAGGAGAGGAGAGGAGAGGAGAGGAGAGGAGAGGAGAGGAGAGGAGAGGAGAGGAGAGGAGAGGAGAGGAGAGGAGAGGAGAGGAGAGGAGAGACATCCATGGGGGAGGGCAGAAGCCTTGGGATTTCCCCCCAGATGTGTGCCACAGGGCAGGAGGCTCAAATGAGAAAGGCATGGGCCAAGCTTGGCACATGAAGCAGCTCAAATGACTGCCCCTCCCTGGGAGCGAACAAACCTCAGCAATTCAGTAATCCTCCCCCTGGGACATGTAGCTATGCATCTGGATTTTTAAACACCATTTTTTTACATTCTTTATAATATAAACACATGTATGCACATAAAACTCGAGAGACCTTTTCTTGAAGATGTTTAAATATGGTTGGGAAGCTGTCCCACTTCCCTGCCGGCAGGGCCCCGACATGGCTCTCATGTCCAGATGATGGCCCTGACATGGCTGTCGTGTCCTTCCTTTCTCCACCGATGTCTTCAAGAGACAGTGGAGGTTTTGTGCTTGCTGCAGTCCCTCAGGATCTGCTGAGGCAAGGGATGAACCTCCACAGGATACACTGGACGAGGTGTGTCCATGCTGACCCCATGGCAGGAGCTCTGCCATGTCAGGGAGCTGCGTGAAAAGGGAGGCCTGCCACCCATTGGTGCCATGTCAGGAGTGGCAGGACCCCAAAGTGCCACAGGTCCCAGCACAAAGCTGCTGCAGGGGGCACAGGCACGACACAACACCTGGCCCAACACCGAGGCCCACCCACAAGTGCAGCGTTGGCTTGTTGGGATGGTGACAGGACCGAACAAGGCCCATGGCTTCTCCAGGACACCATGACCAAGGCAAGGTCCGACGGTCCTCCCTGAAAAGCCGGCATTTCCCGACTTTGAGTCCTAAAAACACTCATCACCGGACACTCGAGGAGGCAGACCCGAGTGATTAAACCAGCAGGAAAATGCCAGAGAGGAGATGATTTCACTGCACTACTGAAAGCACATTTCGGCAGATAAGCCTAGCAACAGGGGCCCTGTCTCCAGGCTGGCTCCCAGCAAGGAGCTCCTGCTGCAGCTCCCTGTCAGCCCACCGCACTGCTGCGGGTGAGTGAATGAATGAAGAAATAAATAACCTATCGCAGCCTTCGTGCAATAAGCCGAATATTAGCATGTGGCTCTCAAGACGACCTTTATCGAAGGAAGCAGCATTTACAGGGGAGAAAAATTATCTAAAAATAAACGATTATCGCTCGTGTATACATAGAAATACCGAGGGCAAGATATGGCTTTCTATAACATGAAATGACTCATTTTCCCCCTGAAGTTTTAGTGAGTGTCGAAGATATGCACTTCTAAGAGTGAATCACTCCAAATGGCCACTGGGTGACTGGCTGGGATTGAACTAATCTTGGGGAGGAGAGCTGACGTAAGAGCCATGGGACTGGGAATGCACGGGCTATTTGCAGGGCAAGGATGGCAGGCATTAGCACTCAGTTGTCACTAGTAAATCTTAGATTGCTTTGACAGGTGGCAGATTGCAAGACGTGAACGGCTACAGCTTCCAGGGGAACACTCTTTTCATGGAAAGTGGGATGAGGCCAAGGGAACAGCCCGTATTTCTTTTTTATGTGTGTGCGCAAACACACACACACGTGTATATATAGCTGTAAAAAATAAAGCGTATCTTTTATGGATAAGTAAACTAACTTGAACCCTCGTTTATATTTGCTAGCTAAACCCAGGAGTAAGAGCTCAAGCCTTCTGGAAGCAAAGCTCAATTGCCAGCCTCCAGAACAAGCCAAAAAAAAAAGTTATGGTGAGTTATCTACAAGCCTCATTAAGCACGAGAGAATCCAATGGCTCCCCAGATATTCGTGAGAGAGCGTGAGTCTGGATTCAAACCACTCCTGGGACAAGCACTGACCAGATTGTGGTGTCTGAAGTGTTTTCCAGCCACCCCTGTGAGTATACCTTACATACGCATAAATATCAGCTTCGTGTTGGATCCATGTCCAGAGGAGGGAAGTGAAAGAGAAGCAAGCCATGCCTTTTCAGACGAGCTCATGGCTTTTAGCAGTCTCCCTTCACACACTGCTTACAGCAGCCTGGCTGATAGGGAAAGAAAGATCCCAAGAAAGCCCTGCCATCCGGAGGAACTCAGCCGCCTCCATAAGCAATGTAAGCACAGCTGTGCTTTGCAGTAGCAAATGCCAGCCATGCAACTGATCGCACAGTTAAAACAGGCTGCAGCAGCAATGCACCAATGCTGTGTAAATGGCTGGACTGTGCAAGCTCATGTCATACTGCCAGCTACTTGTAGCCCCCTGCCTGATGGATGTGTGGGTGGCTTATACCTGGTGAATGCAGTCGCTGAGCTGGGCTCTCACACACACTTTGCACCTTGCTAAGGAACTGCCTGGTATGGCTGGGTCTTCTGTTCTCCAGCCCCATGGAGAGCAGCCAACACGGCTTGCCCTGCATTTCATAGGGATGTTTGTGGAAACAAGTGACACTGGGGTACAAGTTTTGCTGTGGGCTATAAGAAAACATGAAAATCGAGCCAAACTGATTCAAGCCAAACTTGTTACGAGTGAATGTTTCCTCAGAGGACAGAGCTGTCAAGCAGAAGGTCTCTTGGAGAACAGGAGAAACCTCTTTTGACTCACACCATCTGCCAGAAAGGATGAAATACTGGAAGGAGTTTGAGAATGACATGCGGGTATTCCCAGCACTGCCATGGTGATTTTATGTGACCTAGGTGCAGTGGTTTGGCCCCTCTGTGAACCATAAGCTTTGCCTGCCCTCCCAAGGCAGAGATGACAGGAATGCCTGTGGTTTCACCCCCTCCTAGCACACCAGACAGGTAGGGATTTTAAGCCGATGAATTATTTGCTGCAAACATTCTTTTCCACTTTGCTAATTGTTCCCATACCCGCTTGGGCGGCTGTAAATGTGTTTGTGATTACTGCAGAAGAGAGGGATGCAGCTGTGCTCCAGCCCCATGCAAACCCTTCACACCACGAGGCTGCAGTCAGCCCCTGTCCCACAGCACAGAGCTGTGCAGCTGCACATCCACAGCCAGCTGCTGCTGCAGGGAAAGGGCCAGCCTCGCTAACGAGCCTCACACGGGAGCACGACAGGAGGGCAAACCACTCGTTTTTTTTGCTGACATGGAGTTATTCAGTTGCACTTCCCAGTCCCATGGTACCTCGTAGCCAAAGCCACAAAGAAACCCCAAACTAACCTGATGAACTGTTCCAAATACTGGTATGTTTTCATTTCCCCTTCCTGAAAACAGTCATATAAAAATCACATGAAGCCCTCTAGCCTCAAGAAAGTGGAGCCCTCAACAGCGAGTAACTCATGGTTTCTAAAGAAGTGAAAGTTTCTGGGTTCTTTGGGGAAGAATTTCACCAGCTCTGCTCTTACTGTGATGCGGCTTATCTAGAGGGAAAGATACTGTACACAGATACAGACAAACTGGTTTCCAACCCCAAATCTGTGATTCCAGACCAAGTGGGTAAGTGTTAACTGCAGTTTCCATCCTTCAGCAGAGGACATTCAGAGGACTGTCGTACCAATGGGTGAGGAGACTACAGAAACCACACAGACAAGACCTAAAACCTTCATATGTGAGGCTAGGGTCTTCAGCGTGACATGTTTATTTAACACGGAGCCAGATTTGCTGTCTTACAGCATGCAATAGTTGATACCTGAAGGACAGACTCTGGCATGAGCAATTTTGGTTAAGTATATTCTATTTTCAATGCCTGAGATTCTCCTCTGGAGAATAATTAACCATGCGATATATGGTCTTAAACAGCCAGGAAAGAGATTGAAAATACAGAAAATTGAAAGGAAATTATTTCAAACCAGAGTGCTTTGACTCTGGAAACTAAGTTATAAATGCTTTTGAGAACCTGCATTTATTACTTGCAATAAATAACTTTTCTTCCAAACACGCCTTTGTGTGAGAGACAGATTAGCAGTGCAAGTGGAGCATATTTCTGCTGTGCAGAAGTTACTTATTTTAGAATAATGGACGTCACAAATTGGCCCTGCATAGCAACACTCATTGGAAAAAGATCACAGCTCCACTTAACACAAAAGTGCAATCTTGAAGCCCATTGAAACTGAAGTGTCTTCACAGGGCAAGCACTGAAGTAGCGCCTCGTTTGCGTAAAGCTGGACAATTGCTCCTCTTCCGTACACAAAAACCTGCTTAGATATCTGCTGTGCAGGGGGAAAGGCTCCTTAATCACATTACAGAAAATGAACATCCCAAGGTTAAGTCCTGGTGCTGCGGAGTACATCGGTGCTTTATAAAGTCATCTGAACAGGATTTATACCCACAGATCTCCACGCTGCAGTGAACATCCGGAGCTTACCTTCAAACTGGGGGGGGGATGCTTCTTCCTTGTAGGAAAAGCAGTTCTGAAAAACAAATTTAGAATCATAAGGTCTGATTCTGCACCACATTAAGCCTGTTTTACAGTTGTGTCACTGCAGTGAAAATCAATGGAGTGACCCACTGGTGAAAAACACCACAAAGTAATGATGAGAATTAGCCCAGGCTCTTTAGAAGGCAGTTCATGTAGCCATTCCCTCAGGTTCTCTCCAAGTCCATTATGCTCGCTGTGGTGTGGCAAGTGCATGTAGGAAAAAAAGGCATGTGAGATGGCAAACCCATCCACCCTTGCTCGCCTGTTTTATGGCATTCCTGTCTTTCTGCCTTTGCATCATAACTCTGCTTTCCTTCAAGGAAAAGAGAACGATCAGACCTAGATTTATGCTCGCTAAGTGAGCTTGCTTTCCTTGCAGGTTCTTATTATTTTTTTTCTGCGAGAAGCAATTACACCTGGATTTGTTCCACTGCTTCTTGCCATCCTGGCAGGACAGCCGGGAGCACGGGCCATAAGTGAGCGCAAGGAATAAGTGGGAGCAGGGGACGGCTGCTGATTTACAGCGGCGGAGGCTCTGTCTCACGAGGCTGGCTATCAGGCGTGGCACTTCATTTCTGGAGCCTCCACTGACAGACGTGGAAAAAGTGCTCAAAATACTGCAGACCCTCTCAAAGTCACCTTGAAAGCATGTGAGCAAAAAGGGGGCAGCTCCTCCGCTGCCACATGTCCATCCCAGCGCCCGCTGCTCCCTCCCAGCTCCTCTGGGATGCCCTGCTTGGGGCTGGATCCAGCCCCACCAAAAAATTCATCCCAAAATTTGTTATGGGATTGGGCACAACAATCCCGAGCAGCAGGAGGGCAGGTTAGGTGCTGGGACTCTGCTTGGTGCCACCAGGCCCAGCTGGCTGTGGAGGAGGCTGGCATGAGAGCTGGCAGCAGAGAATTGCACGAGCTGGGAGCAAAGGAAAGCCTTGATCAGCACAGAATTGCTTAAAAGAGGGGGTCACTCCTGGGGCCATGGCACTGCAGAACTGTGAGGGGAAAGGAGACGGGACAACCAAGCAAAATTGTGGGGAAGGGGCAGGGCAAAGACCAGGACAAAGCACTCTACGGACCCACAGCCCTGTGTTTGAGGGCCATGCCCATGCTGGAACAGCTGTGGGGCAGGGGCACGGGGCTTTTCCCTTAGATTAATGACTGATTCAGAGGCCACGCAGCTGTCGTACCATGCGCCCTGTTCCCATTTTAATTTTAGCAGCCTCACATACCTCCTGGGCTACTTACAAGGTTAGAAACGGGGGATTTCCAAGGGGAAGCTGTGGGCAGCCAGCCTGGCAGAAGCCCTTTGCTCTGGAGATGGCACAGCTACCTGGACATCAGCAGCTGGAAGACAAATTAAGGCTCTGCGAGGCGGCTGCGTGTCACCTGCATGGGGCTTCTGGTTTGGTGTCGCTGTCCCTGGAGGTAAAGATGGGGAGCCATGACTTCTAGGAAAACAGCAAAGCACGAAGATTAACTGCAGGAATTCACTCAGAGAAGTAATGAGGTAGGGAGGAAACTGTGCCTGCAGGACTCCCCTGTTAATCTGCGGCTGGATGAATTGCTCCTGACAGCGTGCTCGGCTTGTCCGCTGGCAGCGCGGTGGGCTGGAGTTTTTCCACAGTGCCCAACCATCTACGAGATCCATCGTTAGCTTGGGGGGACACGGGGATGGATAAGGGAAAGATATAAATAAGGGACATGCCGGGAATGGAACAAGGTAAAAAGTTGGCTTAGTCAGTGTCGTAGCTAGAGGGAAATACAGGTAAACATGGCTTGCCCATTTCTAATTCAGACACTTCCTTCCTTCACACACGAGGAAGCAGCCAGAGGAGTGAGTTTGCCCACCTCCTTCCTTACCATCAAGCCACACTGTATTATATTTAGTTGAACAGTCAACAGCAGCACTGACCTTTAAAGCACTATACGATCCTTTGTAACCCTCCTGTTTAATACAAGAGCCCTCTATCCTAGCGACAGGCAGCTGGAGACACCGAGGCTGTGTCTGTAGCAGTGCATCAGACGTGCCCAGGTCTGTCCTCTGGCACTGAGGCTGGCCGGGATGGGATGTTCCACGTCCAGGCTATTGAACTTCCTTCTCTGTCAAACCAAGGCAGTTTCATCTCAAATGCCTATCGGGAATGGTGTCCAGGCCCCACTGGCTTCCAAGCCACGCCTGGGGAACATCTGAAGGACCACAGGCGTGCTTCAGACATCCTAACAATTTCAGAGCACAGATGACTCAGCCGTAATGTCTGGGAATGTGCCCTGGCACCACGTAATTGTGCAGCAGAGAAGTAGCTTGAGGTGCCGGAGCACTGCAACTCCATCTAAAGCCAGGGGACAGTCTGGCAGCCCATGGCAGCCTGTGGCAGCCAACCCTTCCGCGGTCAGAGCTGAGCACCAGCACCCATGGCACTGAGAGCACAGCAGCTTTCTAAAGCCTCTTTGTTGCGACCGAGCCACTCAGGCTACAGAAGATGCGTCAGCATCACCACCCCAGAGCACGTCTCCTATCTCCTACTAGAGAGTGATGTGGATCATTTCTCTCTTCCCCACGGCACCCTGTGTAGATGCAGCTGCAGAGGAGCCTGGAAGCATCCTCTTAAGAGCCCTCTGCCTTTTGCCCCAGCTTTCTGGACAGTCTTCTCCTGTGGCTGAGTCGTGGAACCAGCACTGAGCTTCATGACACCAATGACAGCATGCAGCTTGCTAATTAACGACAGGAACACCAGTCTGCTTGCACGGAGCTGGCCACATGCCGTGCATTTTTAACATCACTTAGTAAACAGCGGTGATGAAACGCAATAAAGCATGCCAAATGTGTAGCACTGATGCGATGCCCAGATAGGCTGGGGTGGACTCTAGCAGGCCGGGGAGAGGGTGAGCTCCTTTTCTTTGCCATCACAATAACCCAGCAGTCCAACTAGAATCGTATCTGCAAGATCTCAGAACTAAGCAGGATGTCCTGTTCATAAATCAAATCCCAGCAGACCTCTCCCTCGACAGGCTTTTCCCTTCCTGGACTAGACTTTCTGGAAACTTAAGGTTTAAGGTTTTAATCCTGCGAACATTTGTGCACATGTTTTCCTACCTAGAGGCCCCATTATTCGAGCTGAATGTATGCACAAACGTTGGCAGCACGGGCCCATGCTTAGGAAGCGGTTCTGTAACGCTTCTGTTCACCAACTTGCCGACTTCTAAATACGTATCTGTGTTTTTCCACATGACCTCATCACTCTGGGGCACAACGAGAAGCGTATACACCCACCGAGTGACATTACAATCAGCTGTCTTAGCAGCCTTGCCCTACACAAGATTTGGGATGTGCCCGATGGAGTACCTCAGATATTGCTCAAGTCGGCTGCACTTCCCTCCCTATTATTTAAGCAATAATAGCTGATGGGGAGGGTATTTCCTGAGTCATCTGGAGAAAATGAGGTCTCTGCTGTAGGCCCATAATTCCGCTAGGAAAGCATGGCCAGGAAGCCAGTCCCCACCCTGTCCCCCCTACGCTGGGACCGTGGCTGCGAAAGCAAGCCAGCACGGGCGGCTCGGTTTGGGATTTTCAGGTATACAACAAAATACTTCAAGAATACACCAGCTTTTTCCCCAGAGACCTATTTCTAAGGTTTGCAGAGTGGCTGGTGACACAGAAGGCCCTTCTACTTCCAAAGGGAAATTTTGCCCCAGAGGGTCAATGACTTGCGGGATGCCAGGATGGAAAGGGGTGGGTGTACAGTGGGGAAATAGACAGTGATGTATGGATTGCTGCCGCATATCGTGCATTGATGGCTGGGGTTATACAATCCACAGAGGGAGGCTTCACAAGCAGCAGGAGATGCATTTGGGAACTCTCTGCTCTGTATAGGGACAAAGCAACAGGTCCAGCTACACACTCGGAGCAGCCGCAGTGGCAGGGAGCAGCTCGTTAAGCTGGGTTTGGGGCTACAGTGAATTCCCGGAAAGCTGCACAGCAATCAGAGCACACAGGGGAATCTGGCCACTGTTACTTTATAACAGCATTTTTCTGGCTGGTATGCTCACTGCTCTGCATAGAGCCTTTTTTATTTTTATGTTTATTTTTATTAATATCATTAAGATAGCAGGACTTACCCTTCTCAGCAGTTATATAACTATGTAGATACATACATAGGTATATATAGACACCTATATAGTTATATAATTCCTTTTTTTTTTTTTTCCTAACAGAGAAATATGAAAACATCCCAGGGATTTTAAAAGCCATGGATTCAAACCTGGAAAAACTCCAGCACTGGAGTTTTTGGTGGGGAGAGATTTGGAGCCTTACTGACGACGATAACTGTGAAAAGAAGAAAATGTGTTTTGGATCTGTACCTGTCTGACTACAAAGGCATGACCATGCCAGCAGCCTGCAGCTCTCACGGCCACAGCGGAGCGATGCATTCACAGGCCGGGTCAGATTGATGTGCAGTATTTGGAGCCACGGGGTATTCTCTACAATTACTCCTTGCTGCTGCAAATTAGCACGCTCCTCACTTTAACGGGGAGCTGTTGCCGTCAGCTGAGGCGGGATCTGCAAAGGTTCCTGTGGGTGTAGTAACACCAGGACTAACAGGCTCTGGTTTCACAATACAAAGCCACCGGCAGCTATGCTGGCTCGGGTAATCAACATAATCCTCCCTTCTTGTCCGGTGTCATTCCCTCGCCCTACGTAGCACCACTGCCTGTGGGGCCAAGTTTTGGACCGGTTTAGGCAATGGGTTCGGCAGAGAAGTAATTAAAACATGAAAACACAACATCCTTGGGTTTTGACCCAGCTTGGGTGTCCCAGCTGTCTGACAGCAGTGGACAAAGGCAGCGTGAGGCAGAGGTGCAGAGCTGAGGGCACCAACAGCTGAAGCCCACAGGGCTGATGAAGACATGGCAGGGCAAAAACACAGCCAGGCTGAGCAACCCCGGCCCTCCAGGCACAGGGCAACCCTATTTGATGCTTCTGCTGCCTGCACTTCCACCTGACAGCTTCTTGTGTTTCAGGGATTTCCTGAACCAGCTGTGAGGCCTGCAACCTGTCTGGTGATGCTCTAGTGGATTTTTCTCCACAGACTTGTCCAGCCTCCTCCTGGATCCATACAAGCTCCCTTATCACCTGCAATGCCACAAGTGAGCTGGATCTTTTGAGCTTCATTAACATCTACAAGCCCAAAAAGGGGAGAGCTGCTCCACCACCAGACCATGGGATGGGGCCATGCAGCTGTGGGATGGGGGAGGCCCACAGGCCGGGAGTGAGTGCCTCCTGGCAAGCCTCACCGAGGCCGTTCTTGGGGCAATATGGCACAGAACAGGGGTCCAGAGCAATGGGAGGGGGTGTTATGGGGCAGGAGAGACACTGCAGTGTCCTCTCCTGCCAAAGAAAGGGGTGGTGGCCAAGGAACACGTGGCAAAGGCCAAGGGAAGTACTCGTGCTTCAGAGCACAGGTGACAGCAAACAGGAGAGCTCAGGATGAAAGTGTCCCAAACCCTCCCAAATATACCCATTCCCCAGATCTTCAGCATCTTTCCTGAGTATGTCTGGTGGTGTTCACAGCTGGAGAGGGCATTTTGGCTTAGGGGTTGTGATTTTGGCTGGTACAGCTGCTGCAGAGTGAAAAGGACCTGTCTGCAGGAAACACCATTCTAGCTGTTTCTTTAGAGCTGATTGCTTGCACATTTGGGGCAGGAATGTCTGGATTATTGCTGATAAGAGTTACGGCAGTGTGTCGGGATGTAAGCTCCTGGAAGTCTCCTGATGTCTTGCACATGCCACTCAGAAGAAAATCCTGGCACTTCACGTTCCCACCCTACCAAAACACCAAATCCTCTCACATGACAAAAGTGACAGCTTTTTTATAATCACTTTGCTTTGTCTCTCTTTATTTTAAATTGCATACACACCACAGAGTGGCTGAAACCCGTGGCGTACAAATCAGTTGAAATTGAGTCACTGGGCCTGGGAGAAGCAAACAGACGTCATCGTAAAGAGAGCAAAGCCCCGCTTGGAGCCCCGTCACCCTGCTGAGTTGCAAGGTTAAGGAAACACATAAAATTGTAATGAATGAAACAACCATTAAACATTTTGCTAATACTCGGAGAAATGTTGCCAAAAAGACAAACTAGCTAGCAGACTAACATTTACATTATAAAATGTAAATTCACAGTGTTAACTTTATCTGGAATGAATAAACAAATATTTTAAGCAAGAAAAAAAAAAAAGGAAAAAAAAAAAGTACATACTTTCAGCAAACGTCATCTTCTTACACTGGGGAAATTCTTGTCATGCTTAACCCAAGCGTGACACAACATCTTGTAGCAGTTATCCATTACTGAAGTTTATCTGGGCTTGCTGATAGCCCGGCATTCCTGTAGCACGTAAAGGAATGTGCATTTCATCCCATCTAACTTGTGCACCACACTTATTTATTCCACCCACTGCTTTCAGAGGTTCAACGCCCTGTATGCTCAGCATAAACCAAGAAACACTTGGGTGCTTTGAATGACTCACTTGGGGCTCCATTCAATCTTTGGAGAGCTGACAAATCTACCAACTCATTTAGATGCCTGAAGTAGGGAAGGATGACTTTTTTATAAAATATCCATCTCAGGAGCTGAGGGTTTGGTTCCCAGCATGGTTTCACCAAAGGGAAAGGCACTGTAAATGACTTCTCAAATCTTCCAAAAGATGGCTTGGAAATAAGTTGGGGTTTCTTTTGAATCTGCGAATCTGTGCTTCCCCACAAGCTCTCCAGGACTGCTGGAGAGTGTGTCCTGTGATGAAAATTAAGGCAAGGAAGGGGAGGTGGTGACAGAGAAGGACAAAGCCTTTCATTCAGGGAATCATAACACAATACCATGCCCTGATTTTATGGACACAGGGAAGGGCAGAAGAAGTCTTTTCTAAGAGCACCTTCATGGACTGTCAGGAGTGTGCCAGGGCCCCTAGCTGCTTCTCTGGCGGGGACACCCTGTCTTGGAGTGATATGGGCCACAGGGGAAGGTTTTACTGGCAAAACTATCCTGTGTACTGAAGATATGGTGACACCACTGATCTGACCTTCAGAGGTCCTCTTCAGGGCATCTGTAAGACACCTAAGGAGAAGCCTTTTGCTAGACCAAATTAAAATTAAAATTGCCTGCGCAAGTGAACCACTCACAGGCTTGGGACTCAGTTTTAAGTGTAAATATTGCTGGAACAGGCATGATTCAATGATAAAGGGTTGATCTGTTCTGCCTCAGGTTACACTTAAGCATCCTGTGTCTCTCCTAGTGACGTGGAGAAGGGATAAGTCTTCCCACTTCACACAATTCCTTCTGTTGGGAATAGCAGCTAAAAAGCAGTGTTTATCCTCAAAGCAAAGCACACTGTTACTAAAGCTCAGCTGCAGGAGAACCTGAAGTCTTTTGCCTTATACCTTTTCCTGCCATTTAAATATGTTGGTGAATAAGTCAAATGTATGCATGGGAAGCAACGAGGAGAAAGGGACTGGAATAGAGACGACTACAAACCATGCTATACTCTTCACTTCAGATTCACATTTCCTAGGCACAGCATGTAATTTTCGTGCTGCCTCTAGACATAAGGATAACTGCTCTTCAGGAACTACTTTGTGTGTTAAACAAATATGACATTTACGGATTGTTTTCTCTCACTATTTATTTGCTGTGTCCTGAGCTAATGACCTTAAAAATTGATCTCTCTTATGGCATTAGTGTTAGGCGATTTCCAAAAAGCATGAAATTGCAATAAACTGTCAAGTTTGCACAGGTGCATTAGAGATTAAGAGATCAGCCACAGAGCCATTAAGATCTATGGCAAAACGCCCAATGGGACCAAGATCAAACCTTCAGAGTGTTTTTAAAAATGTCATCATTAGTGGAGAGATTCCTTGCCTGGCAATCCCAGGAGCTCAATACAATGCTGGATGTTAACCGTACCCTTCTGCGCTACTCCTCTGAGATGGCAGCTGCTGAAATTTCTTATTCATTTCAAAACAGATGAAGCAAATATTAGTTCTGCTGGAGCAAAGATCAGGGGAACGTCCCTGCTGAAATGCTGGTGTACACTACACAAGCTTTCAAATTCTTCCTAACCTGCAGGAAGAGGCTTTTTCTTTATGCAGGTGCAAGAAGCCCACTTCCACCCCTTAGCAGGGATGTATTTAAAAAAAAAAAAAAAACAATAAAAAATTCTACGGAGCCAGTTTTTGTGACAAATCACAAAGGCCATCAAAAGGTGGCTTTGAGATCTGTCTTCTCTGCAGCTACACAAGTTTTGTTCTTACCCCACCAGCTTTCCACACGGAGGGACTCTGCCTGGGAAGCTTCTGCTAGATGCTGTGGCCAAAGGCAAAGGTCTCCCAAGCTCCCTGCCTTCACAGATACGGTGTAGAGCATTCGCAATGGCTTGGGAGTGCCTTTCCATGATGCTCATCTGAAAAATAACATCATCGACACTGTGAGGTTATGTTTTGCTTCAGTTCTATACCTGCAAACTCCCATGTCTGCATGTCTGTCCTTTTGTGCTCTTGCTTTTGCTCCATATTGTGAGTCTTACCCCACAGATGCAAACAGAGAAATAAAAAAACCCTACTCCAATTTATTTTTTTATTATTTTTTTTTACAAATTTTGCACATTGCTTTTCCTAAAAGAAAACCTGGGACCTTCATGGAAACCTGTACCCCATATAATAGTGCTAGGCATGTACTTTCAGTTACTTCTGCCAATGTATTTTAAGATAGAAAAGCAGAGCAGGAGGAGGGAAATGACTGGATCTGAGGGAACACATGCGTAGCGAGCTGAGTCACCCCTGAATCCAGCCAGCTGCCTGCAGACAGCTCCTCCGCTGCTCAATTACAAATTAGTTCTGGCCTTGTGCAGAAAATCTGTTAAACAATGCATAAATGGTGCTAATTTGGTAACGTTTTATTGGCACTGATCTCGTCCTCACCCCCTCCCAGTGTGGCTCAGGCACCCAAAGCCCTGCAATCAATAGCATCATCTGCATGATACTGAAGGTACTTTCTGCTTGCCTTTTCACAGAAGTCCAAATCAGACGAGCATTAGGTCTAGTGCTGCTGACAACAGACATATTCCCGTAGCCACAGCAGTTTTCAGCCTTTTTTTCAATACAAAGGCCTCTCTGCATTTTTAGTGCTTAATCCCTGTAAGGGGAAAGAGGGCAGGCTAGGAGAAGGGGCCTGTCTTTGTGTAAAGGAGCAAAAAGGGCAAGACGTGGGAAAAGACTCCCACCTTCAGTCACGGGCACCTAGGAGACCTTCTGCCCTGTCCTTTTGCAGCTTTGGCTTTGGCTGCTACTCTGAACTCAAGGACAGTGAGATTTCCAGAGTGAAAAAACAACCCACACCCTGCTTGGTAGAAGAAGGACGGGAATCACAGCGAGCCCTTGGGGAGGGTGAGGGTAAATGGCACCTACCTGCCTGCCTCCCGTCCTCTCTGCAGGATTATCCACGGAGCTGACTGAGGCCATCCGCCCATCCTGGGCAGCTCCTGGTGCCCAGATCAATAGTTCAAGGCAGACCAGGAGGCTTCATGCAGCACTCTGGTCACCGCCGCTGCTGTTTTCCTTTCTCAGCTCTGCTCTATCCTCTGCAGCAACTGCTCATTGCTGATGCAGGGAAGCAGAAGCACCAGCCTGCTTGGCTAAGACAGGATTCACAGCCCTTCGGGGACAGCCTCTCTGCAGCTAACCCGCTGTCAGCTCGCTAGATACACCGTCCGAGCCACCAGCAGGCTCTGTGGTGTGGGGAAGTTGCCTTGTGAAATGAAGGAAGGACATTTTTTGAGACCCCACAAGTTGAAGGGGGCTGAGAGGGTAATCCTGGGCTTGGCTGAAGGTGTGGAGGTGCCACGACCTGCAGCCAGCATGATGCCACAGGCCCAACCAGCCTCTGTGGGCTTCCACTTAGCAGCAGGAACAAAGCACGTGGGACATTTCCCAGTTTCCAAGACACAGCCCAAAGCTTAGGTCACCCGCTTCTCGAGAATTGATTTTACTTTCCAAGGAAGCAGAGCCCTTCAAGAATGAATGGATTTAACAGTCAAAAAGCATCCGGCCCCGCAGCCCCTAGGGGAGGGAAGGGAGCCAGGCCTGGAGGATGAAGGAGCACACACATGGACGTCCTCACGGTCCGGCCCGGGGACGACAGCGTGCCAGCACCACGGGTGAAGCAGCTGCAGGTGGTGGCTTCTGCTTCTGGTCGACAGCTCCCCCAGGGGCAGGCCCACCACCTAGCCCTGCCCCGAAGCACTGGTGATCTGCTTTGTCGTTCCCCGGGCTTTAATTTCCTTCCTCACTTGCTCCACAAACAGCATCTCCTTCTTTCTACGTCACTGTGCTGAAGGGTTGAATCCTTGGAAACTAGTTTCTTTTTTTCTCTTCCCCTCAGTGCCAGGACGACCTTCGCCCTTATGTCTTCCTTGGAAGAGTCCAGAAAGCCGTGCTTAATTCTTTGTTTCCTCCTCTCTCCTCATGTAGGCTCTTAGTGCTCTCCCATCTGGAGGGGCGAGGAGCACAGGAGCGGAGTATTTCTCCCTCATGTAATTCATGGTGGCGAGAGCAGCAACACCAGCTTTAGCCCTCCCTGAAATGCAAGGCCTGCCCCTCTCAGTGGCCCCATCCTGCTTTCACAGCACGAGGCCCCAGAGCTCACACTGCCCAAATTCAGACCGCTGCTCCCCGAGCCAGGCAGTAGCAGAGCACCAGGGCCTTGTTTCTCCATGGACTCCTCTACAGCCTGGCAGGAGCAACATCTCCTGGGCTGGAAAGGTCTCACAGGACTTTGCAATGAATCCTCTCAGCAGCCCTCACAGCCCTCAGTCACCGTGACTCACTTGTGGCCACCAAGTGAGATGATGGCCCCGTGGTGCCCACCAGCCCCTTCGGATACTTATCCCAGGGACTTCTGCAACCCACATAACAGCGGTCAGATTAAGGCATGAAGGAGGGGGAGTCACATGAAAAGAGAACAAAGCAGAAATGTAATTTGGAGGACTGAATCCTCCAGCATGCCCCCTCTGAAATTAGGAGTGCTCCTCCAGAAGCTCAGCTCCTCAGCTAATTCAGCCCACAGGAGGCCTGTGGCTGCACAGGGTACCAAATCCTGCTCTTCTGAGCCCCAAATGAGCACCCCAGCAGCTACACCCCACCTCATCCCGGAGGGTTGTGTCTCAGGCCCCAGCATTTCCTCAGCACCAGTGGAGCACGAGACCTATACCACCCTCTTGAGCCTAAGGAAACTAAAATGAAGACCTAAAACCATGATTTAATCGCAGCACTTCAACAGAAAAGCTTAATTTGTGTAATAATGATATTTTTTTTTCAGCATTCCAGCAGTGTCTTAGAAATGTTTTCCAGTCCCTCTGTGTTCTTCCTGTAGCAGCCTTACAAGAGAGCAGGTTTCCAGCAGGCTGCTGCATGCTGCAGGCCGCCTGTACAGCAGAAACTACCTATCACTACAGAATACTCTATTACAATTAAAAATTAATGGCAAACGTATTGTCTCCCTATTTCCACCTGAAAAATGTCTGTTACCCAGGGACCAAAGGTTTCTGGGATACTGAGCCCCTTTTGTTACAGGCTCAGTGCTGTGCTCAGTGCCTCCTCTTTGGCAACTTGCACACCAGTTTCACTGTGCCCCCATGCTCACAAGCTGTCCCCAAAGCCGCCCTAGGCCACTTAGACCATTACTTTTAGCAGCTCAGCTTCTCAGCTGGCTTCACGATCCCCAGAGATGGTCTCTATTTTTTCTGACTGTGTCCCAGGTTGCCACTGGTGCTCACAAAATGACTCCCGTACCTTTTGGTCCCTTGCCATTTATAGCCAAGAGGGAACCTCCTTTCCTTCAGCTTCCTCACCCAAGACCTGTCTGCATCTCGATTAGCTGCCTGGGCACCGGCAGGCCCTGGCTGCGTCTGACAAGCAATCTCTGAAGGTTTCCGGGGCAGTATTACACGCTGTCAGCAGTGTTAAGGCTGAATAGCTCAGCGGCTGCTCAGGGCTGTGCGGGACATCGTTGCTAGAGAGGCTTCCTGAAGGGGCTTCCTTACGGGAACCGGGGTGACTCATTGCTACTCAGCGCCTCTCCTTTCAGGGAGATTAAGTTTCTGCTGCAACAGGGCGGTAATGAAAATGAAAATCGCTCTGCGGGAATGACCCGTTACCGGAACAAAAAGAAGAGAAGCTCTACGTCTGGGAAGAGAAGCGATCGCTGTCGGTAGCTTCTCGTTACTGAACGATTTCCAAGCGCATGGAGGGCTCTGCTCTTCTTTGTGTCAGGCACGGTGCGAAGCTGCAGCTCTCCAAATGCAGCTGCACTCCTTCAGGCTGCAAAATGCAAAAACCCGGTCACAGGAGGGCACATAATTTTGTATGTGTGTGCTGGGGATCTTGCAAGCACTACGACACGCCTACACATGCAAATCGGAGGTAGTGTCCACAAAATGCAGGTTTGTAGGCAACGAGAGCTCCTCCACACAGCCCCCAATTCACGTTATATCTGATATCATTTTAAAAGGAGCAAACTCATCTGGGGATGCACTCAGGCAAGTCCTGAAACTGGACTGTTTTTACCTAGCTCCTCATAAGCCAAAGGAAACGTGGTGTGAGCTGCAAGGATGGCCACAGGCAGGCATGTGTCAGTGCCCCCGGTCGGAGCAAAGCCAGCCCAGCTGCGGGGACAGGAGCGAGGAGCATCTGCTCGCACGCCCTCCCCTCCATGCTCCGCTTGCTGCTGCTGCCGTCAGAGGCCTTGCTGCCTTTATCGCTCACGCTGGGCCCGCTTCCAAGCAGCAGGTCACAGCCACGCATTTGCAGCACGGCAGGAGTCCCTCGCCTCGTGCTGCAGGCCTCCCTAAGCTCTCCTGGGCCGATTAAAGTCTCCTCTTACGAACTTTCGTGGTCGTTTACGCTGCAGAGGGAAGGGGCGCCGGGCTTGAAAGGCTGCAGGCAGCTCAGCCACGTGTTGAGCTGTCCTTTCGTCAGAGAGCTGCCCTGAGGTTTCCTCTGAGGCACAGGGGAGCAGCACCAGCAGCCAGAGGTGCGGCAAAGCCAACTTACACCCACCGAGCCCTGGCCCCAGGAGCAGCTTTCCAGGTCTAAAGCTCCCACCCTGCTGTGGCAGCAGCTTGGCTCAGCTCAGAAGCTGCCTGGCACCCCCCCCCCCAAAAAAAAAGTAGTCTCTTTTGCATTCGCTGCATCCCTTGTGTCAGACTAATTAAGCCCTGCTGGGAGCATCGTCAGCAGGACGGGCACTGCCTTGCAGCCCCTGTGGGGACCCGCACCCATCGGCTGTCCCCTTAACACCCTGGTGCTTTGCTTCCCACACGGACCAGCCTGAAGACCCTTCCTCCTGTTTCTGTTTCCTTTCCATCACCGTGGTGTCACCTCGTAGATATTTCACCTTATATTTGTCCTGGTACATGCTAAGGGTATTCCTGGCCTGACCCTACAGTGAATGCACAGATCCAGGCTCCCACCACAACGACCTGGAGCTGCTTGTTCTTGGTCTTTCAGTTCCTGGAAACCCAAAGGCTGAGCAAAAGGAAAAAGCTCTCCTGAAGACCCGTCCTTGTGCTGTACCAAAGGGGTGGCCCTGCTCGAGAGGGGTTGGAGCAGGTGGCCTCCAGAGCTCCCTGCCAGCCTCAACACTGCTGTGATGCTGTGAAGTTGACTCTGGACACCCAAGACTGCTCAGGACAAAAGGGTGCAGAGTCAAGTCCTGGGCCTTTTTTCCTGCTTTTTCAATGTTCTGTTTTGTGCTAATACAGGATGACTCTTACACTTCACTTGACACCGGTGGCAATACAGCAACAGAAGAAAAAAAGGCATTTATATCTCTGCAGAGAGCTTCAGAAAACTCACCTGCCTTTCTAACACCCGCCACATTCCTCTGCCGTAGTTCAAAGTGACACCCAAGTGGCATGAAAGCCACTCGAGTAGCTCAGTCGGGCCTGACTTTCCCCATTCAGCCGGGAAGCAGGCAGGTTGTGTGCTATCCCGCCCTCCCCCAGCCCGTGTCCAGGCCCTCACCAACCCTGCCCTCTCCTGCCTGCAGCCAAACAGCACGGAAAATGAAAAGCACGCCTTCAAAAAGATTGAGCACCTGGCATCAGAAGTGCTTTAACTGCAGTCGCGCCCACAGTAAAAATTATAGTCCTATAAATTACACGTGGGACTATAATTTGGTCAAGGTCTTTTTAAGGTTTCTGGCCCAGCAAGTTATAGGTTGTAAAGGTCACCATAAAGCATTGGAGACGTTAAAATCTGTATGACCTCAAGAGTTTGCTGGTGACTTTTACCAGCTGCAGCTTGGAACTCGTATCTTGGAGAAGGAATTGGCAGTGGCAGAAGTTCTTGCAGGGAAATTACGTCCCGAATAACACGGACATGTCCAGATGCAGCTGCCCTGGGGATGCTGTGGCTGGAAGGGAAGGGGCAGCAGTTCCTTGCACAGCCCTTGCCTTGTGGTATGCAAAGGCACTGGTCAATGTTAAGGGAGGAAACAGAGGTCCTTTGTTCCCCGGTAAAACTCCCTTCTCCTCACCGCCAGCATCCCTCCGGACTGGAAGCAGTAGGAGAGATCAATCACCCAGCATTTGCACGACTTGTAAAATCTTATCGATTCTGACGTTCCCATCCTGCTAATCACAGCCTATCACAAGTGCAGACGTTAACCTGAAGGAGCTGGCACAACCAGATGAAGCGCAATCAGCCCAAAGTTCACTTGTGGACGTACCACCAAATGACCACCCGCTGCCATTCCTCCTCTTCCTTCCCTCTCTTCCCAAGGGCCAGCAGGCAACCACACACCATTTTCCCTTAGGAACGGGACAGCTGGCTGCCCTTCTCAGCCAAAATCCCACACGCCCTTCCAGAGGACGCTCGTGCTGCCATACCTGCCACTCAGAGCCTCTGGGGAAATCCAGAGGTCTGCCTTCGGGCTGGTTCTTACCGTCTTCTGCTGAGGTTTTCCAGCCAGCTCCTGCTCAAAACCTACCAAAGGACCTCCACAAACAACTGGTGGGGCAGTGCGTTGCATAGACCAATTCCTTAATTTACAGACAATATGTTTAGAGGCCCATCATTCGTTTTTCCTTTGCATTTAATCAATCATCAGCATCAAATGTGAAAAGGGAGCATTTCCCAGGAGTGCCAGTGAACTGACGTAATTTCAGCAGCTTTGTGCGCAGTACATAAAACTCGGAGGAGTAAAGTTCAGTTTTTAATTGTGCAGCTGATACTGTGAAGTAAACAGGGGTTATCTCCTACAGATTTTTAACAGAGATTTTTCATCTTTTGAGATGGTTTAGCATAAGAGTCGAATTCTTCCTCCAGCCATATCACTGTGAATCTGGAGCAACGCTGATAATCTTCTCAATCCAGCACCAAACATACATTTTCTTCTTCAACTGAAACTGTGAGATTGTGCAACGGAGGAAGTGACATTAATGGAGTACCTCCGGACTTTGAGCAGGGCTACTGAAGCTTTCACTGCCTGAACTGCCTTGTCTCCTGCAAGCTGGTAAGGTGGCTGATGAGTTACCATACAGAATAACCCCAAACTTTTCAGCGGGATCCAGAAAAAGCACCCAACAGATGAAAACGAAGAAAGAAACAACAACAAAACCACTTTAAAGCCAGCATTTCCAAAGCCTACATTGAACTCTGGTTTTAAACCAGTAAAGCTTCCCAGTGGCCCACAGCTTCAGGCTCAAATTTCACAGAAAATTAAAACCAAAGATTTATAATATATATTTTAAACGGTCTTTAACTACAGCAGGACAATGTAGTGTCATATTGTGTTCTATATACCACCCGTGTTCAACTCGGGAGTGTTTCACAGACGGGGTGACTCCTTCTCATTTATCAGTCTCGCACAATCAAACCCTTAGACCAGAAAAAGGACTTTCTCAAGGTAGGTGGCTCACTGATGGTGTGGTTCTGAAGAAGCAGTCCCGGCGAGCTGTGCCTGAAGAGCAAGGCATCTGGGAGACAGTCAAACACTTATCGTCAGATCTGAGCAGCCTGCTGGGCAGAACTGCAGCGTCCGGACTCACCTGTTTTAAGGTGGCTGCTAAGTGCTGAGCACACCCGAGGTTTTCGGTGGACACACAATTAAAATAAACAGCCCTGAGTGTCTTGCTTCCTGGTTTCACATGGAAATTAGCTGCAATTGCATTGCTTGTCCCTCTTCATACCATTTACATGTGTCAGTCAGGCTTCACCAGTTCTGCTGCTCACAGAACTACTTTTCTCTTTTTCTGGTATTTACTGGCTTCCAGAAGTTTGATGAAAGACTTTCATGAGCAGATAGCCATTAAATGAAAAGTGGATGCCCTTTAGTGTTTCTTAAAATTGAACACTTTCATGAGTTGATATTCCAGGAAATTATAGGTTATCACTCTGATCCCTTTAGGATTAAACTCTATGAGGTACAGCTAGGATGGCACGATAAGAAAACAAATCCAAAGAAAGCATGCTTTAAAGAAGATTTAAGCCTTCCAAAAATTGGCACCTGCTAAGTTCAATGTGGTCTTGAATCAGACGCAGTGGAACCCCATGCAACCCTTTCGTGCATGTGAGATCTGTATCTTGTCCTTCACGTGAAATAGTCCCAAATCAGACTGCTACCATCTGTAGTATTTGAGACGATTATTCCAAGTGATTTGAAGCTGATATATGGCATTTCTAACTGCGAAAATTCATCGTTCTGCAAAAAGCCTTATAGGAAATGCTCTCATGCCTATACCTTAACCTACACTTTTTACAATGGTCTTCCTGTAAAGCTACGTGCCAATCACAGCATTTAAATCCTATGTATTTTCTGTACAGCTCAATTAAAAGAAGTTCACACTGAGTTTTGTTAGTATGTTGGATCCACAGCTGAGGCACCACAAATTTAGTATGAAAAAAAGTTGCTAACACAGCGCTGCATTTCTCATTTGCTATTCCCTCGGACAGCATCACCTATCTGGCTGTCATCACAGCAATGGACACTATTTTTTTTCCAAAATAAATGTGTAAATCCCACCAACACAAAGCAGATGTTTGCATCAACCAATGAGGTAACCAGGTTATACAAAGAAGCTCTAACAAGCAACACAGCTTTGAGGCAATGCAATGCTGTTCCTGACAGAGGCAGTTTATTTGGCCTCTTCAGTGCACAACGAGGTACCACAAACAGCAGTAATTCATTCCCTTTTTTTTTCCAGGCCTTTTGAAAAAAAACAATGGCTCAATTTCTGGAATGCTTGGCAGTCACAAAATGCGTTGATTTGCAGGTCCAGTGGATTGATGTGAATTTTGAAAACAGAATCCATTACACG